CAAACTCCCGTCTTCCAGGCTGGACCGACAACGTCAACACCGAAATCACAATCCACCACAACTACTTTGACCAAACCAAGCAACGCAACCCCTCGGTCGACAACGTCAAACACGCCCACCTCTACAACAACTACCTCATCGGCCAGACCTCGTACGGCCACTACGCCCGCGGCAAGACCGAGATGCGCATGGAGAACTGCTACTTCGAGAAAGTCAAGAACCCGATCCAGCTCGACGCCAGCGCCAAGCTCAGCGCCACGGGCAACGTCTTCGAGGGCACCACCGGCACCACGGCCAAGAACGCCGGCACCGTCTTCGATCCCAAGACGTTTTACGAGTATACCCTCGACGCCGCGGCTGATGTGCCGAGCGTTGTTGCAAAGGGGGCTGGGCGCCAGGCTAGCATTTGCGCTGCGTGAGCTTAGGAGGCGGGTTAGATCTTGGGCGTGATGTTTTAGCTCCTGGTCACCTGATTGCTCGAGTGCGTAATCAGAGAAGGAGAGTAGTAAACAGAAGAAGAAGAGGACGAAGGAGAGAAAGGGGGTTGTAAATTCTACGTATTTATTATGATGGCATGTTGCCGTTGACCAAGCATATACTCTGTAGATTTGTTCATATTGACTACGAGCGTTCACGATCAGACACCTCATCTTTGGTGACGAGTGCATGTGAAGTACATTTTCGTGGCTCATATCCATGTTTGTGTCATCCAACGGATTGAGTCGTGGTGGTTGGCATACGGCCATGTCATCCTGGAACGTCATTCTCCGCTGTGCCTTGGCTGAAAGGGCGAGTGGGTTTACTTAGAACCATCATCTTCTCCAACTACCCTCAAAGACATGCAACACTTATGCAATGATATTCCCCTCTTCCCATCTTCAGCAAGAGATCTGACATCCAAGAACGTCGACCTGCTCAGGAAATAGCCCAATAGACGAGACCTCGCACATTCATGCCAACCACTGCAGCTCCTTCCTACTTCTCACCCTCCTTTCCCGACTCAATTGTATGCCAAAAGCGTCAAACTCGATAGTGAAATACCGGAAGGCCTCATGTAGGCAAGGGTGGTCGACGTTATTGGAACATGAATCATTCCTTTTCCAGTACTCCCATCGAAAAGGCCCACGACGCCAACCGTGACGCCCCTTAGTGACGATACGGCAAAATGGACGGCGCAAAAGTCCAAAAACGCTGCGAGATCTCCAATCAAGCGTATATCAAAACCCGAATGAACCCTCTATTTGGATTCCCCATCGCGTAAAAACAAGCTTCTCGCTTCATTCCGGGTTCTGGAAAGGGTAACCAGTTCAGTCAAGCCATACGAAAGGAGAAGGGTGACCAAGAGCACTTTTTTCGTCTGGGAACCAATCATCGAGGTCGACCTGTCCGTTATAAGTAGGTGGTAGTTCACCGCAGGAAAAAAAGGGTTCGGTGGCAACGGGATTGTGCGTGCTGATCGTCGCGCCCTTGCAGATTGGGACGGGACACTAGACCACACCCCCGGGAACTCCCCTCATTCATTCTGCAGAGGTCTTTGCCCGTATGAAGCAGATATGTTTGACGACAAGATGTCGGTCGACTTTAAATTGTCCATTCGCGCACTCAGGCTGATGGCTTGGGACTAATCATGGATTCCGATTGTGGGATTCTGGAAACCCATATACGGCGCGGCATCTGCGGTTGACGGATGCTCTCGAGGCGGTCGGTTTTATGTGGGGGATCCTGCGGATTCCACTCCGACGACACCCTATTACCGGGTAACGTCCGAGTATTCGCATAGCTAAGTTACCTTAGTTTGTGGATAACCTCGATGCATGAAAATTCCGATCATACGTTCAGCATCGAAATCTGATAATTGGATCAAAGCGTTGCTCGGTCACCTGGTTCTCCTTGTCTTCGCGCAAGTTCAACAAAAAAACTCTTCATGCACGATGGTGGATTTGTGGATGTGGTATCGGATCATTTCGGTACGAACAACCGAAGGAGTCACGATGCGTGTTTCCAATGTCATAGCGAACGACCAAATATCGAGGGGAACGAGAGATAGAGGTGATAATGTTCATAGTCATGATATCATTTGGTATAATGCCTGATAGCTAACTCTCAAAAATAAACAAAGAAATGCTTTTCTAGATCATTTCCTCCACATAAAACGCTTTCTTTTGTAGTTCTGACAAGATTTTTGGTTTTTTTACAGACGAGCTGTCTCCTGGGCCTCCTCGATGATCATCTCGGCACACTTCTCGGCGCAACCAAGGACAGTCAACATGGGGTTGATGGTGGGGATGGTGGGGAAGATGCCAGCGTCGCAGATACGGACCCGCTTGAGGCCCTTGATGTTGAGGCGCTCGTCGACAACGGCGAGCGGGTCCTTGCGGACGTCACCCATCTTTGTGGTTCCGACAGGGTGGTAGACCGTGTGGGCAGCACGGCGGGCGTACAAGCTGAGCTCCTCATCGGTCTGGACCTTGGGGCCGGGAGCGACCTCACGGGCGATCCAGTCCTTGAAGGGAGCCTGCTCAGCGACCTTGCGGGCAGCGCGCATGCCGTAGACGAGGGTAGCGGCGTCGTAGCCCTCCTCGTCGGTGAAGTAGCGGAAGTCAAGAGCAGGCTTGACGTTGGGGTCGGCCGAGGTCAGGTAGAGGCGACCGCGGGAGCGGGGACGGGGAATATTGGGGGTCATGCAGAAGGCGTAGCCCTCCTTGGGCTCATCGTAGCCAAGGCGTCCCGTGTTGAGGGTGAAGGGGATCTGGTAGCAGTGCATCATGACGTCGGCAATGTTGCCGTCGGGGATGCCGTCGGGGTTGAAGAAGGTCTTCTTGGCGCCGGCGTTGGGGGCCTCGCGACGGAGGAAGATACCAGCATCGGAGTCCATAGTGGTCTTGTTTGGGGGAACGGGCTTCTTAAGCTCCCACATGATGATGGACTCGGGGTGGTCCTGAAGGTTCTCACCGACACCAGGCAGGTCGTGGATGACGGGAATGCCGAGGTCGCTGAGCTGCTGCTTAGGACCAACACCGGACAGCATCATCAGACGAGGGGTATCGACGGCGCCGGCGGCGAGGATGGTCTCCTTCTTGGAGGTTATGGTGCGCTTGGAGCCATCCTGGAGGGTCAGGTTGACACCGGTGACGGTGTCGCCCTTAATGTTGAGCTTGGAAACCCAGGCGTTGGTAAGAACTGTGAGGTTGGGGCGCTTCTCGTCGCCGCGGAGGAAAGGGTGAATGTAGGCGACCGAGGCGCTAGACCGGCGGCCATCATCGGGGTTGTAGGAGATGGAGAAGAAACCAACACCCTGCTGCAGGGCGCCGTCCTGAACAATGTGCTTGTTGAAGTTGTGGAGGACGGGGATGTTAAGGGCGGAGGAGCAGGAGTTGACCCAGTCAAGGCAAAGCTCGTTCTGGTGGCGGGCGTGGACGGGCTGGACGGTGTTGCGCAGCTTGTCCATGAGACGCATGAAGTCGTGGAAAGTCCATCCCTTGGCACCCATAGACTGCCAGATCTTCAGGTCGTACTCAAAGGGTCTGAAGGAGATGAGGGTGTTGTGTGATGAGCAACCACCGAGCACCTTGGCGCGAGAGTGGCGGATGTGAGAGTTGCCTGTGAGGGGCAATCATGTCAGTGAGCTGTCCCAGGAGGTAGGATGAGCTATTGGAAACAGAAGAGGCTTACCCATGGGCTGCTCAGTGGTGCCGTAGTCGTAGTCGAGCTCACCGCCGAGAAGGTTGAGCCACTTGCGCAGGTCGAGCACGCGGTCGTCCATGAAGTCGCTGGGGCCAGCCTCAATCAAGAGGATGCGCTTCTGGGGGAGGGACTCGGCCAGGCGAGAGGCGATAACGCAGCCGGCGGTACCACCACCAACGATGACATAGTCGTAGCGGTCGACGTCGGAGACGGGGAGCTGAGTGGTGGACATTTTGGCGGATATGGAGGATGAGGGTATTCAAACAGTAAGATTCTCGGGGCACCCGGCCAATCAAGAGGATGAGGGGTAGCTTTTTCTACTTGTACACACGGGGGAATGTATGTACAGAGGGGTAATACAGCCAAGAAACGCGCGGGCGATCTTGGTGTGAGGTTGGGGTAGATCTTGGGATGGTAAGAGGAGATGAATGGCACACGGAGAGGAATGAGGATGGAGAGGAAAGAAGAAAAAGCAAAGGAGGTTCAGAAGCTATCGATATGAGTGGAAATTCGGCCGCATTATCAATGATCAATGATCAATGGCAAGTCGGCATGTCGGAGTAGGATACCGTGGAGACACGAGGAGGGTAGGACCCATCCACATCCTTGGCCCTTCCTCGGAGACACAGAAGCAGCCCAGACAGACGGGAAGACTCGAGAAAGAAAGCTTGCCTCGTTTCCCTCACTCGGCCGCCGCTTGAGGAAAAAAATTGTTCTCGCGTGGAAGGTACCGACCGACTTTCAATCGCACCAGGCCAGCGCCGGCGCCAGCAACGACGGCAGGCGGGCAAGGCGCAGGGCGGTGGAGACGGACCCCGCGAAAGTGGGTGGTGGGGCCCATGAAGAAAAGCGGGTTTCGAGGGCATTGAGAATGACTCGCCGGGTTTCTGCACGAGTCTCTCCTCAAGTTTCTGTGATCCTTCCATTCTCTCGGTGTTTCTGCCTGCCACCTGCCGCTGCCGTTTTCACCAACTGGCAGGTGGAGTTCACCGTGGGTGCGGCACCACAGATCCGGGCGTGGGAGCGCGAGACCGCGCGGGATCCGACGTCTCATTGGACAATTGACCTTTTTTCTGCCGGTCTTATCCTCTTTTTTCTTTGTACATTGTGTCATGTACTTTTCTCATCAGCCCTCTATCTATTTTTTACTCAATTGCCCCCCCCCCGCCTAAAACGTCCTCATCCTTGCTTTCGTCAGCAAGCAGGCCCGGATTTTCTAAATTCCAAGGTTCCTCACTGGCTCGACAGTCCCAAAACAGACTAAACGACCCCGAGCTAACGTCTCCTGGTCCCCAGCAGCCAACATGGTCAGCAACATGCAAGACGCAGGCGGCAGGCCCCCAATCAGGGATGTTGCTCAAGACGTGCTTCTGGTAAGGTACGAGGTACCGCCAAAAAGCTGGCAGCACCAGCCTCGGGCAAGCTCAAGGTTCTTTCCTTCGTCGCCGCCCCGGAAGAGAAGGGGGAGACCGCGCTTTCCCACGCACGCCAAGTCCTTCTTGCCCTTCTCGAATGTCCACTCTGGTGGAAACTGCCCGACGTCGTTGAAAAAGAATTACGAATAATGGCCAGAGGCAGTCAAGTGCCGCAATGCTCTTCTATGGCACGGGCCAATCATGACGATTCGACTCTGCCTGCTTCACCCGGCCAATACTCCTCGATCCGTCTATTGCGGAATGTCCCACCAGCATAGGTTCAAGCATCTAATTTCACCTGCATTCATTCGACTCCTCTTTATCCAACGTCGTGACCTCGAGGCATGTTGAACCGTCCTTTTCTGCTCGGTACCAGAGTGGGCGCCATCGACCAACAACGCAACAGACTAATTCCGCCCGTTTGCGGCTTGCCACGGAAATCCCACGCGCTGGTGGTGTGTTTGGCTAGGGGGCCTGACTGCGCACATGAACGACCAGTCACACCTACAATCTGGTATCCCAGGCAATTGAGACAAACCAATATGCTGCATATGCAAGAATTGCACCCGACATTCCCCAAACTGCCATGCCGCCTTTATCCAGCGCTAAAATTCGGATTCTATCCGTCGATAACAGACAGCCCTGTCTCGGTGACACGGCGTTGGAGTCCGTTGGACTACAACCTCGTCTCGAGTCTCGCCCGGCCGCCTTTGCCTGTCTGACCTATCGCCTCGTCCGCGCGGCTGAGGTGGCAGAAGATGAGTGGTTGACCATTACTTGACTACACACCACCAACAAAGTCACAACCGTCGGCGTCATCCGGGGTTCCCGCCGACTTGTCTAGCCCAGGTTGGGTGTGCCAAGGCAACCTTGACCTTGGTCCTGACTCTCTGTCGGCCAGCTTCCAGGTACTCTCCAGGAATTACCCTTTGGTACCCCGTATTCCACTATCAAAAGGGCTTTGTCTGATGTCAAATGCAAACTCTCCTACCCGTTGCATCCAAGATGATCTGACGAACTCGTCGTTATCGCCGACGATTCAGAGAATCGAACCTAGCCTTTAAAGGCTGAGGAGGCAAGGTGTGAGACGCACACACACCGAGATAGACCAAGCGGCTTATGGTCCAGTCTAGACTCTTTCGGCGATCTCTGTATATCTGAGATATCTATCTGTCTCGCATCGCCCGTATCTATGTAGGTAGTCTATCTTTTCCGCCATGCCTGCCGTATCTTTTTCCCGATTGTGGCTCGCCCACCCGGCTGGGTAGCCAATGAGATGCAGCCAATTCGTCGCTGAAGTCCCCTGCCGTACCGCGGCTGCGCAGGTGGTCGTTCGACTTTGGCGGCCGGGCCCGGGATAAGAACGGATCTGACGGCCCTACAGAATGCAGCCACATTGTTGGATATGATCTGTCAAAGCTTAGCAGCGTCTGCATATCGCATCAGCAAACAAAGACAGGGTGGTCAGAGATGCAAGATAAAAAATTTCCAATCTCCAAATGTGAAGGGACCCTGAAGGCTGAAACTTCTTTAGTGGAGGCGACTCTTTTTTTTTTTTTTTTTCCTCTTGGTCGCTGCATGTGCACCGCACCAACGCACGCACCGCGGTCCCATCAGGTACGTACCGCCTTGCATCGTCTTGGGAGACTGAATGGGTGGAGACAAAACTGTTGCATCCGGGTGGAGCGAAGGGCCAATGACGTACGGTTCATGACATCACACCGCCGACGAAGTGGGGCAACATGGGTGTCTCCCGGCAAATCTGCAACACCCCGGCTTGCCAGCCCATTACCCACTCTGGTCAGCTGAACTCGAGATAAGGTCCCCGGCCTCTCCTCCGTGGTACGATCCCGATCTCCCTCCGATCTCAACGACCGTCGAAAAGAAAAAAAAATCCTCTAAGCCTGCAACTGCAACTGTACGCTCCGTCCTCCGTGTCGCCGTCCGTCTACCCCGATCGACATCCCATCCCCGGCATCGTCTTGTTGGAATTTTGTATCGCATCCCGTTATACCCCAATTCCCCATCCCCTTACCTTGCAGAAATTCCTTCCCGTTTCTAGTGTATCATTCGTTTTTGCCAGCATAGCTCTTTTTTGTTCACCCATACCCCTCCCCCAGGAATATAGGAGCCAGCCAACCAAACAAGTCAATTAGAGCCAAAAGTAAAAACCCAAGTCTCATTATCAAAAAATGGCGCCACAAGAGCAGAAGCAGGAGGCGGATCGTCACACCTTCTATGCGGGGAAGCCCCAGCCGGACACGGAATCCCCAGGCACCTTCCAATCCATCGATCCCGCGACGGCGAAGCCCGTCTGCACCATCCACACCTCCTCCGCCGCGTCCATCAACGCCGCCGTCGACGCCGCGAAGAAGGCCTTCCCCTCCTGGTCCGCCACCCCGCCCATTGAGCGCTCCCGCATCCTCCTCCGCGCCGTCGCCCTCCTCCGCGAGCGCAACGACGAGCTGGCCAAGATCGAGACCCTCGACACGGGCAAGGCCTTCTCCGAGACCCAGTACGTCGACGTCGTCACCGGCGCCGACGTCCTCGAGTACTACGCCAACCTCGTCGCCTCGGGCGGCCTCAACGGCGAGTCCTTCCGCCTCAGGCCCTCTGCGTGGTCCTACACCACCAAGGAACCCCTCGGTGTCTGCGCCGGCATCGGCGCCTGGAACTACCCCATCCAGATCGCCCTGTGGAAGTCGGCCCCGTGCCTGGCTGCCGGTAACTGCATGATTTACAAGCCGAGCGAGTTCACCCCCTTGCACGCAGAGTACCTCGCCTCCGTCTACCGCGACGCCGGCGTGCCGGACGGCGTCTTCAACGTCGTCTACGGCGCGGGCGACGTCGGCGCCCAGCTCACGACGCACCCGGATATCGCAAAGGTCAGCTTCACGGGCCAGGTCAGCACGGGCAAGAAGGTCGCCGGCGCGGCGGCGGGCGGTATGAAGTACGTTACCATGGAGCTCGGCGGCAAGAGCCCCGTCATCGTCCTGCCGGACTGCGACATTGAGCAGGCCGTCGACGGCGCCATGCTCGCGAACTTCTACAGCTCGGGCCAGGTCTGCACCAACGGCACGCGCGTCTTCGTCCCCAAGGCCATCAAGGCCGAGTTTGAGAAGCTCGTGCTCGAGAAGATCCAGTACGTCCGCGCGGGCGACCTGTTCGACCCGGCCACCAACTTTGGCCCGCTCAACAGCAAGACGCACCTGGAAAAGGTGCAGGCGTACGTCCGCAAGGGCGTCATGGAGGATAAGGCGACGCTCCTGTGCGGCGGCGCGACGCAGCCCAAGGGTCTGCCGTCGGCGTACAAGTCTGGGTTCTGGATCCAGCCGACCGTGTTTACGGATTGCACTGACGACATGACGATTGTCAAGGAGGAGATCTTTGGTCCCGTGATGAGCATTCTTACCTACGACACCGTCGACGAGGCCGTGCAGCGGGCTAACACAACCGACGTCGGTCTCGCGGCGGGCGTGTTTGGTCGGGACGTCGACCAGTGCCACAGCGTGATTCAGAGGCTCGAGGCTGGTATTACGTGGATCAACACGTGGGGCGAGTCGCCTGCGGAAATGGCGGTCGGCGGGTGGAAGTCGAGCGGTGTGGGCGTGGAGAATGGACGGAAGGGTCTCGAGGCGTGGGTGAGGAACAAGAGCACGCTTGTTGAGATGGGCGGTAGCGTGCCGACTGTCTTTTCCAAGTTGTAAAGAGTTATGAGAATGTACAAGAGAGGGACCAAGGGGGAGATTGTTGGTGATTCGGACTGAACTCCCTGCATTTATGGTGAAAACAAAAGCTTGTCTTTGGACTGGAGGAGGTTTTGGTTAGATATGAGCGTTTGAATGATATCACGGATTTGACGATGTTCTCTGCCACTGCTTCCCCGTCTTCAGTAGTAAGAGGTTTTCTTTCAAGTGAAGAGAGGTACTCCTAGGATCCAAACGAACTATTCATCAATGTGACCGAACGAAAACTTGAGTCAACTAGTCTGATGTACAGGATTATTATGCTCACTTGCGGAGAGGGGCTGACGAGCAAGGGAGCTAGATGCCCCAGGGACCAAATACCTACTCAATGGAGGATACGCAGGCGGGAAAAGCTTCTGGATGTTCAAGCTCATCTGGGTCATCGACCCTGTGACAGAAGAGCCAGCAAGCAAATGGTGTGCTACCACGGACGAAAGGCTGCTGCCCGAGTAGAAACGATGGTAAGCTGAGGAAGTCAGCAGAATTCCTTTGGGGCGTCATTCATCGCAAACTACCAGGCGTACTAGCAACTGAATAGCGGTCACTAGTACCTCCCCGCCTGCTTAAGTATATTCTCCGGTGTAGAACTCACTACTAGAAATGAGAAGTCTTGAGGATTGTGAGATTGACTCTGAGTGAGACAATCGGCGATTCTGTCGCCTACTTCCAAGTGGAAAGGTTTGCTCTACTTGTGGAAGTGATCTTTTATTATTAAAAGACGCCAAATCTGTAAGAAATTACGTGAGAATTAATATCCACGAATTGGATAGTGTTGAGAAAGAATGCTTCTTGAAATATTTGACAAGATTACCATTGTAACTCGGCTGTGGATCTTCTTCTAGTCCTTTGCCACCTATGTTTGTCTCTTGATTCCTGGCCGCTATAGAATTTTGACCATATGCCACAGCATCAATGTCTTGACCACTCAGTCATATATACTAAGCAGGAAGGGCTCCATTCGGTTCAGCATGTATGTTTTTGATACTAGCAATGATATGAAGGAGCCTGCTGAGTGTCCAGCCTACGTCAGACCCGTGAACACTCCGCTCAGGGCCGAGGACGCCAACACTGCGCTCTGGCGGTCCTACGCGTTAGCCTCCGTCAACAGCCACACAAACGCTAGAGCATTCGTCAAGATCCTCTCCTGCTTCTCGCTCGGCGGCAAATGTACGGTAGGCGGCTATCTCCTGCTGTCGGCCGAGACGGCGAAACTGGCATTTACGGAGCATGTGATTGAGACGGATGTAGTGACATGCCGGAGCGGGAGACGCGGACTCGGGATACACCTCACCGAACCTGGGTCTGGGGTCGTTGAATGCAAGCTGCCGGCGGGTAATGTTGGATGGGATAACGGGTCGGGGCGGTTCGATCATGGTTGTGGATAGCGACAGGAGGCTCACACTTGCGTATGTCACGAACAGCGTGCTAAGTGAAGAACGTCCTTCCCCGGCAGCGTTTTTGATGGCGGTTTATGAGATATTTGGAGTTTCCATAGCTGCCTAAGGCTTTCGATTGTCTTACAGGGTACGGGTAGTTTGATTTAGACGAGGCCTGACCAGTCAATATCACACCTCCGGTGCGAACGTAAGACCTGGATCCCATCTTAGTAATCCACTTCCTTACTTCGTCTCCTCGGTCTCTATCGCATTGCCCGAGCCTCAAGAATTGACGTTTTTGCTAGAGCTTTGAACGTCTCGATTAGGTAGTTGACATTTGTCATTTTTGCCTTATCATTTTTGTCAAACCATTCTGCCAACGCAAAAACGTCGACCCACCAGACCTCTTTCACGTCATATATGACGTAGCTGTTTACCCTTAATTAGCTATCCATAAGAGTTGAGATGAAGATTAAGCACTTACTATGCCTCAAATCCATTTTCCTTGGCATACTTAGCGAGAAGGATGTTCTGATAGTCCTGAACCTTCACCCTGCCGATGGTTTTCGCGCTTCTGGAATTGTGGTTAGCTTTGTGCTATGCTTTATACTATTCTATAGCCCATACTCATAGAAAAAGTCGGCGTAAGTGCCGTCCTCTGTGGTTTTTGCGACTTTTGCTATTTGGCGTCAGTATAGGAATTTAAGATACTGAAATCATAAGCAAACCTTGGAATAACATAACGCGTTTATTCCCCACCTGGCTCTGATTGACCTTAACCATAAAATCACAACCAGTTTCGTTTTCATTGTTGCTCCATTCCTGTCAAGTTGTAAGTAATACTTCTGTTGTTGTTCTCTTGGCTATCTGTATGAAGACAAACAGTGATAGCTTCTCTTCAACGTTAATATCACCTATAGGCCCACTTACAAAGAATGCGTCTTTCCCCTGTGAGCTGTACTCCATCTGGGCGTGCATTATAAAGGTATCAGTGAGTCCTATCTCCATCATCGATCGTTTTGGGAAAACTCCACGGAAACGTTGGTAGGCATTCGTAACAGCTTTTGAGCCCGCTGAGAGCATCGTGATGAGCTCATTATCTTCCACAGGAAGAAAATATATCTTGGATATCGGCTGCAGAGATTGCATCTTGTTAGAAGACGCGGGTTCAAGGTAACCTCGCGTATTGAAAATTGTGAGGTTTATGAGAACGAGGTCCTAGAGGTGATTCACATGGATCTTATACAAGTGAGGGAATACGAACTCCCCCATAACACCTTAGGCATCACTCATCACATTGGCAGATGGGGATACTGCAATGAAACGCCAGAAACTGCCAATGTCAGCTGCACAAAGTACCATGGAGATAATTCTCTCACAAAACGTCTTGTTGAGGAGATGGTCGGTCTGGATTGCGTATGAGCCCGGCTTGGCGCTGTTGGTTTCAGTCGCAGCCCTTGTTGTGTAACAATAGCTAGCCTACATACGCTATCACATTCCAAGATTGTGATGAAAGCAAAATAGTACACTGATATTGGTAGACCCGATATTGCACTCAGCCAGCCACGTGGCTACACACTCACCTCTCTGTGCCTAGGGAAATTTCAGCTGTTTCTGCGCTCGTCCATTTCTGACAATCGCCAGCTCGCGAACGTCGAAGGAGCTTCGGCCGGGTCATAAAAGGGGGAAACGAGGAAATAACATTCATTCTATCAGACTTGAGATATGTGACCTCTCCTCTAGTTTGTCAAGGGATAGAAGTAGCGGCTACATTTTGAGGGTACTTACTACTACAAGGCCAAGCTCGTGAGGCCTGGCGCCTTGTTTCACCTACTTGCATCCACGTCGTCAACAAGTGGTGTATCGTGAGGCTCCCTCCATATGCCATCTCAGTGACAGGGATGTGAGACGGTGTGCTCACCGGCAGCCAAAGTTTGGCGCGTCGCCATACGAGATAGCTTGTTCTGATGCTAGCAAAAGAATCACGCATGGTTCGTGTACCTCCGGCAGCCCCAAACCTTATGCTGCCTCATGGGCCACCCAGTTGAATCCCATCTATCAAAAGCTGCGAGACATGGCTTTTTTGGCTTAGCTGATTGTGGGGCAGTATTGCGGCGCGGGGAACTTCCTCCTCGATTTGGGTTAAAAGCTTCAAGATCAGAGCTGTTCCAGCGGGGGCGGGCCGCCGCCCAGCGCGTGTAGCCCGCACCTGTCGTAAATCAGCCTATAGAAAGAAGAGCCAGACGCAATGTTCCATTCTACATTGATGCATAAAGCAACGTGTAGCACAAATTAGCGGCAAATGTACGGAAGTAATTGTGATGAACTGATCTGATTGTATAGCGTCGACGTTTTCAAACTTTCCTGACGGAATTCCCAATAATCATGCTCTTGAGGCAGAGCCTCCTCTTCACTTACAGCGCCACAAATATACAACCCTGGCATTTGACCGACCGCAGTATATGATTGGGTACATCATCTTGCTCCTCAATACTTCTTCGTCACTGGTATACCCCATCGCGCTTCGTCGCGAGGTGCCGAGTCCTGTGGCGACTCTTGCCCAACTTTGGCGCACTGCTGCTTTTGGTCAACAACAAAGTGAAAATGCAACCCTGCGTACAGCTACACTTGTCACATTCTTCGTGTTTAGATAATTAGGTTCCAGCTTGTCCCGTGTCACCTCTAGTATCTGCAAACAGAAGAACATGTGATGACTGCTGGCACGTCTCAACATACGATAAAGGTTTACTGGAAACAAGCAAAGTGATCTCTGCTTCGCTTTTTCGACTAAGTCAAGGAAAAGAATTGGCCTAGATCCCTGCAGCTTGCGAGGAGCTGAACTCAGACCGTACGATATTAGCTCTTCGCAGGTAGAACTGAGACTAATGACATCTCATGCGACTGGAGTCTTCTCTGTGCCCAGATGGCTCCATTGTCTCACTTTCCCCTCCAGAAGTAGCGGGTTTGACAGCTATCGATATTATGCGCCCGCGACCAAAATTGATTTGGTCCTAGCATAGCACGGAAGTATCAAGGACGCTTCTATCAGGTCTCGCCGGATGAGGGATAGCCTAAGGGGCATTAAGAGGAGGACCAAGCAACAAAGGAGCAGCTCAGGTATATATAGAACGCTGAGAGTACACTTCGAGGGAAGGGCAGATTTCAGTAATTCCTCTTCTAGATCCTAACAGCAGTTGGCCTCTGTGAGCTTCTTCCCTATGTCGTACACTTATTAACAGCTCCAACCAGGTATACAATGATGCTCTACTCCCGCACTTCCACCAAGGCTCTTTAACAACCAAACAACCGAAAAGAGCATATCAATCATCCATCTATTCTTCCACAACCTACACATTAGACACAATGGGCACCGAACAGATCAATATTGAGTTCACTGATGAGCAAGTCGAAAATAACAAATCGAAGGGCTTTCAACTCTCCTTTGGTGTTTAGACTTTTGTACGGTTACGAGGTGCCAGAGAAAGTGTCTTGGATGGCCACCGACTCATGGACTGGGTCCAGTCTATTTAAAGACAGATCTCAGAGCGCTGGAGTAAGAAAGTCTAGCAAGTGAATAGCATTCACTACCGATGCCGATGCCGCAAGAAGATTTCAAGCCTCCACAGCGTGAAATGTAGTGACAGCAGGCCATTGGGTACTAGCGAGGAATCAGACAAATCTCTTGTCTCGGAGCAGGTACCTAGCCAGTAGACAATGGATTACTCGGTTTTCAATCTCTTGAGAAACTGGAACAAATTCCAAAGATGCGCCTTTAGTGCTTCCAGCCTTGCATTGCCTTAGTTCGTTCTCTGCAGCTGACATACCTTATGTTTCCCACGCTTCTCAAGGGAGTGACTAGTATGGGAAGAAACCAGAACTTTCGTCTTCATGTTCTTGTCCATATCTTGGTTGTTACATTCAATTCTCACTTTGGTAAAATAAAGTACAACACATGGCCCGCATGAAGGGCTACTCCGAAAGAAACGAAACACATCGAAAACATAAGTCTAGATGGGGCAAAACCTCCTGTAATACGTCGTTACCACGAGGGCAGTGCAGGTTCCCGTAACGGTTCCACCAGAAGCAACATGCCAAAGGTGGGCATTGCGGCAAGACATCGTTAAGTGCTCCGGTATTTGACGTGTCATAAATAATGGGACCCAGCCAAAGTTCATGACATCAAAGTCACGCTATGAGTAGATTCGATATACAGGGCGGCTTGAGGAAGTCTTGTTCGGATGCCTCCATCTGATAATCATTCGTGTACGAAGTTCCGGAACTTCACCTTCTGCTTGTAGGGGCTGGTTGTTTATGTGGGAGAAACCACTCAGGTATCAGAAGCTCAACTAGCTTCTATCCTACCAGCCTAGTTGGTGATACTCGATACTCATCATCTTTCAACAATCTAGTGGCCAGATAGAAATGTAGAGCATCTCGGGGAAAACTAATGATGAAGTTTTACTATGGTTCATTACCCTAAATTCGCTCACTCTTTCATCACTTCGTACTCTTGGTTTTCATATGAGACACGGCTGTGGCACTTGGAATGTCACACATCCTTCGGGGAGAAAGGGAAAAACTGGAGGGGAAGGTGTTCATGAGACAATAGATCTGATCAGTTTTTCCGCCCCTTGTCCGGGTTTGCATCCCCCTCATATCCGTCAAAATTCCCGTGACCGGCCGCTAGGGCCAACCAGTACTGTTGTATGTAGACTTAATACCAGTATGGATAGACCAACATGATGGGGGCCAGCGCACTGTCCTCGAGTAAAAATAGCGGGTTGATCCGACGAAAAGTGAGAGATGAAACAGACGTCAAGACCAAAATGTGGGCCCTTGAGAAGGGAAAGAAGAAAACTGTCTTGACGTGCTTAAGTACAAACTGTACAGCACAAGGAGAGAGCGCGGCGATGAATCGACTCCTTTTTATTGCCATCAATAATGTGATGATGTGATGTGATCGCTGCACCTTGTAAGAACACAGGTGAGATTTCTGACATGGAAGGAAAAAAGGAAGAAAAACGGCATTGCCGGCCAAGCTAAAGAGGTCGAATAAGCTTGTCTGCCAAGGTGGATATGCCGTTATGTCTACGTTCTCCTAAGAGTATAGGCTATAGGAGTAGTGCTTGGATGCCAAGGGCTAGCGGGGGTGACGCGAAGTATCATATCAGATACCCATGGCGAAATATGCAGACCCGTGATAGCGCACTCAATTAAGGTGCGACCAAGAACCGATGGCTTGGTTCCTAATGCAGACATTCCAAGAAGACAAGTTAGGGGGTTGAAGCTGCCAAGAATGCCAGTAATGGATTTACTTTCGATCGTCTGTTATATCGGATCGTCCACGTACTTTACGCTCTACATAAATTCCACTCCATGAATGTTGAGAAGCAGAAGACTGAGCCGTACCATACGCCTTCCAGATTTTGCCGCCCTTTCAGTGATGCACACATCTGCGGTCTGCCACGGCTAATGCACCCCTGTCCGTCAGGAGCAAGAAAAGGAAAGTGGGAGCGAGCTGGGGTCCGGCTAATGTTCCCCTTTTCTCATCTTTCAAGACGACCGTTGCAAGGTAAAAATACAACCTATTGATCCTACGAGGAGTTTCCATGACAGCACAAATTCACGTGGGAGGTCATCTCTCCAATAGAAGGTCACCGTGTGGCAGAAACGTGTGGCTGGGTTGGAAAGCGGGCCATGTTATGCCATGCTCGGACTGCCAAGAAGTGACGGTCGACGTCCTGAAGTTCTGGAACGCGCGTCATCGTGATAGGTCCCGGGCTCCTGGCCGTCCATCATCACTCCCAGGGCTTCAGCCGACCCGACACGAGAGAGAGAGAGCCTGAAGGGAGGGCTCTCAAGGAGGATGGTGGAAAAACTGGTACCTCCTTGGCAATCTCCCGAGGAAGGGCAAGGGCGGCGTCAAGTGCGACAAGGGAGTCGTCGGGCTTGATCCCATGCTGTCACTCGTCTGGGACTAGAACTCCGTGAGAGCGGAGGAGATGAATGGGGAAAGGAGCCGTGTGGGGGGCGGAAGTTTTCTGCCCATCAGAGTCCAAGTTTGCCTCTGCGGAAGGCTCAAAAAGAGGTGTTTGACAGTCGGGCCCATCGAATAACAGCTCTGATCAAGGTTTGGAGAGAATAGGACA